ATAACCGACTTCTTGCTCCGTAGTTTACTTTTGTCGCGAGTAGAAGTATATCAAGAATCCCCAACGGTGGATGTCAGGTTTTTCTCGCATGAAATTTATAGAACACTTGATCTGTTCACTGTACGCGGGTTCCATGTGTAGCGCGATTGGTGTTGTATGTGTTATCGAAGTCCAATGTCTGCTATAGGTAGTTGTTCATGTGAATATTGGTTACGCTGTGTCCACATCCTCTCGGAGAGACAGGCCTCTGCCACGTAATTCGAGAATTAGACGTGCCACAAGCCACTGAATCCAACAAGTGGGGAAACGGGTGCCTCCCCAGGTTCTGACGTAAAAGTTCCCTTTTTTTCTCGGACTTTTCCCCCCCCTTTGGCAAATAGCTTTTTCCGCTACAGGATTTTTGTTGACGTTTTTATTCGTGCGCGCACTTCTATTTGTAAAGTTAAACTGGTTAAGCGTGTTATAATTTTGGGCATAGACATTAAAACCTGGAAGGCAGGGTCGACTCGAGACATCGCACTGGGACCCGTAAAGGGATGTCAATCCCCATGAGCGATGCTTGGCTAGGTTATCAGCGCAAGGTGTCCTCTCTTCTCATCAAATCAATCAAGCACGCAGTTGTGAATGATGTAACAGTCTCCACTAATCATAGAAACTAACTCTCGATTTGCGTTTCATGACGTCAGCAGCATGACATACCAATGCATATGGAGGATCTCTGAGGACTTGCTCGACTCAGACTGTCTGGAAATTGTTTCAAGATGCAGCATACATGACATGAGTCGGACATAGCTGCGTCGATAGTTCGTAATGTCTAACGCATAGAAGGTGAGGTTTGATAACGAGTTCGTAACTGTGTTTTCGAAGGGGGTCTAGTTTATTATGTAAGGCGCGTCACTAGACGAATAGCAACACACCTCGTGGCACAACAATCAAATCTGGCCGGAGGTAGCAAGTGGATCACACATACGGACTACTAACAACCCCATCTTTTGGCAATGGTGACTGTGTTTAGGTACCTTTTGACGTCTTTTAAATGTAGTTATTTTTTTTGGATGGGCGCGTTAACCCTGCTGGAGATGCACATGGTGTGCGGCGTAAGTTCTGGCACTCAATTGAATATCTCTCCATATGATCGAGTATGAAATGGCAATTCTAGAATTTTTCTCCAGTAGGATCGTGAGTGTTGACTGTCGTAACACCAGATATGCTTCAGTGGCGCGATATGAAATTGGCCACAAATCTGGCATCGTGGTTCACAACACTCTAAGCGTTTCGACTCCGCAAAAGTCAAGGGAATGTTCACAGATCCCGGCGAGGGTGTCGTATAGCAGACTTGGTATCTGCTCATAACTGACAAAAATGAAGTAACACGCGACTGGCAAGAAAACTGCACCACGACACAATTCTCAAGATGCTGAGTAAGGGTCTGCTGTCTGTGAGCAAAATACGGGGTTGTGTTTCAGACTGTATGATGTAATGGCAAAATGGGGCCTAAACTGCAGCAACGATTGATGAACGCTTTCAATTTCACATGGAAGCCACGTGACCTGTGTTTCCTGAGCTTACCTGGAAAACGCCTGGCTAACAGCAGCTTGTTATTCCTTGGTTACATAGAGTGTACCCCCTAACTCACCGATTGCTCACAGATCCTCTGTCACGATTCCAAAGCTGGTCCGGAAGACCTAGGTAGTGAGATCTACTGTGAGATTCAATAGATTTCTGGGCACGAGCGATACTGTTCACAACCTGTAATCGTTCCACACAATTGTCTGCGGACGTCGAACCAGCTGTAATGGTCTTTTCTAGTGGAGCTAATAAATGCGAGCATCCGGGTAAGTAACACAGAGCTACATTTTGTATGCTCCAATGAAGGAACGTAGGCCTTGGACAGTTCTGGTTTGAAGGACATGAAGACAGAAAATCTGCATCCTATGTGGACTAGCAGACACGGCTGTGTTCCTTGTGACCGAGACCCAACTCAAGATGTTAAGTGGTCTTCGGAGTAAAAATAAAAAAAAAAAAATAACTGTCTTTGAAGGAGACAAACACAAACCAGACCTGCTCTAGAGCGATAAATACTCGCCTCTCCAGTTGACCAAATAACTCTACGGGCTGTTTCCTCCACAATACAATCATCTGCCAAATTTAGCCACACATCCATGCCTGGATACAGTCTCCAAGAACTCTGCTCTTAGTTCTTCAGTGCAGTTTCCGAGCGCAGCATGCCCATGTGCACACAGCTTGTGTAAACACGCTCACCCCGAAAGGGGGTAGCAACTCCACAGTATTTTTCATAGATGTCTTTGGATAAACGGGATCTGGTAAAGAAGGCAGCTTGTGAGGTCTGTTGCAATGATATTACTTCCAGCTGTTCGATAGTGCGAAGTGTAGAGTCTAA